CTTAAAGGGACTTAACTTTAAAAATGTGAGAAATGATTAGTCTCTACATAACTACTCACAGATTTGTCAATTATAAAGAAAGGATGGTTTTAATATTCCTTGTCCATTAAAAATAAGCAAAGCTATAGTATGATGATTTGGAAAAAAGAGTAAGAAAAAAATAATCATAATCAACTACTCCAAGAAAACCACCAGTATCCTTTGTAATTTTTGAGGAGGGGTCTTTCATTTGTATTTTTTTTTTAAATTTTAGTATGAATTATGGAATGGGTATCTTCCAATCAGTCCAACAGAGAAAATAATCACACGTCATCACAAAAAATAATAAATGCTTTAATGGTTACCATCTAGTATTGCTTACTAGATGTAGACACTTTGCTAAAACTTTCCAATTAGCAACTATTTAACCTTGAAAATAGCCTATGTAGTTCACTGCTTTTTTGTTTCTAATTTTACAGATGAGAAAACCGAGCTAAGAGAAGTTAAATAGCTTGCCTGTGGCTACACAGCAAGGAAACACAGCACCTAGACCAAAATCTAGGTCTGTCTGACCTCAAAACTTTCTTTCATTGTGCCCAAGACCCTGTATTTAGGGAATTCAGACGTCCTTGTTGTCAAATACTTTACCATTCATGCACATATTGGCTCCTTCAGAATGGTTTTCCATGCTCACCTCCTCACCATCAAGAACCTTTATTGGGGCCGGGCGCGGTGGCTCAAGCCTGTAATCCCAGCACTTTGGGAGGCCGAGACGGGCGGATCACAAGGTCAGGAGATCGAGACCATCCTGGCTAACATGGTGAAACCCCGTCTCTACTGAAAAAATACAAAAAACTAGCCGGGCACGGTGGCGGATGCCTGTAGTCCCAGCTACTAGGGAGGCTGAGGCAGGAGAATGGTGTGAACCCGGGAGGCGGAGCTTGCAGTGAGCTGAGATCCGGCCACTGCACTCCAGCTTGGGCGACAGAGCGAGACTCCGTCTCAAAAAAAAAAAAAAGAAAAGAACCTTTATTGGGGTCTGTCATTTGTTTGGCCTATACAAGGATGGATCTCTGTCTACTGATTACCTGACAGTGCTGATTTATGACCTGTTCATTGCATCTTTGATCTGCCACATGTAAGTCAACATCTCCCACTTGACACTTCTTAAACTCTTCATTTATTCTGAGTCTTTTATAAGATACTGTGCATGTGGCATTCTAATTCCTTTTCTTTTCTTTCTCCTTTCTTTTTCCTTTCTTTTTTCTTTTCTTTTCTTTCTTCTTTCTTCTCTCTCTCTTCCCCCTCCCCCGCCACCCTCTGCCTCTGGAGATAACAGTATTCACATCTTCCACAGTGGGTATATGTGTCTGGTAAAAATTCTACTCTATCCTTTAAGATCCTTAAGCTCTCCCAATCCATGGACTCTACTAATGACCACTTTTTTTGTCTCTTGTCATTTCACACAGTTATAAGTTCTCAGTGAGATCCCAATTTTTTACCTCCTAAAATATTCATCAGAAACTCTCCTGGGGCCCCATTTGCAACCAATACTACTGGCTACCTAGGGGCTATTTATAACATAATTCTAATACTTTAACGAGTATTGCTAACACTTTAACAATCATTACAATTACTGATAACTTGATACAACTGATTAAAATAGAGCTTTTTTTGCTTGCTTCAGAATTACAATAGTGTATTTCTTTCTTTTAGCTGTATTTTAATGCTATAATATGAAAAATTATCCAACAGACTTACTGGCAAGCATCTGGAAATATCCATTTGAAAGAACCAAATACTAATTTTCTTATTATAAGAGAATAATAAAATTTTGAAAGTTTCAAAATTGTATTCACATTGAAAAACATCCAACACACAAGTCCTTTGCTATAAAAATGTCTGTAATTATTAAATGTAATCCATATTATAAGAGTCTTGCAAATTATGAATTCCACATGGAAACGTATTTTCTACCCCTCACCATAACCCCCAAGTAACATACAGTTAATTCTCCCTTTGGGGTATCATTCACATTTAATTTATCACTGATCTGTTGGAAGAAAAACTGTTTCTCCTCAGGACATGTCCAAAAATAAAAATGACTAGTGTGCATTACAGAATGTACTCATTCTGTCCATGATGGGAGGAAGAGTTTTTTTAAGAGAAGTCACAGAGTCAATTATTGTCTTAAACCTAGAGAGGACAAAGACCATGAGTTATTGGAAATGTAAAACCTAAAATTGAGAATACACATTTGTCACTTTCAAGTAACAAAGTGTCTTTCTAACCCTGTTTTGCTCAGTTAGGAGAAATAAGTTATCCCTCTTTCTCATTAACTCTCCACAAACTTCCCTGGTGGAAGACATTCACAGTCAGCAAGCTCACAAGTAACAACAAAAAGTCATAAGTAGTTATAGCTTATTGTAATTATGTAACAGTAATAGTTATTAATATTGTTAACAGTAACAAGTCAATAAGCATCAATTAACAAGGCCTCTCTTTCCCTCTCAGTGAAACTAAGTGATTGGTGCAGAGAGGGGAGTCCTCTTTTTTGTGTGTTTTTGTTTCCCTTTAAGATGAAATCATCTCCTCATTGACCCCTGACCCAGTGGTTCTTAGAGTTACTTACCAATTGCAAATTTTAGACGTTGTATTCTAACTGAAACTGTGTCCAGAAGGTAAACAGGCCCAGAGGCACAAGGTCAACAACCAGGTACCATCAGGTCAAGGCCAGGTTGAAAGGGGTACACAATTTGAATCAGCTTGTAGGAACCTAGCAAGAACCCACTGGAGCATCTTGGGGTAAGAATTAGACCATGTTTGGAAAGAGACATTATCCTTCAGGGGAACCACATCCACGGCACTCAGCATTAAAGATATAAACTGTGGGTTGGTGATTTGAATTCAAACATTAGAGATGTCTGTATCATCACACAATGATGACTACATGTACTCATAAAACGACTGCATGTGTTAGTAGCTTATGAATGTAATAGCAAGCAATGACACTGATCTGACCCCAGAGCAGAAATTAGGAATTTCTTCTACACTTTTCTACAGGAGAGTAGAAAGACCACAGGAATACACCTCAAAGGCTGATATTCTGTCCCTGCATGGCTGCTAGCTAAATGTGGGACTTCAGGTCTCAGTTCTTGCATCTATAAATGTTAAGGGTGAATTAGACAACTTCACCAACCCCTTTGCGTTCTAATGTTTTATACGAATGGCCACCAGGACCTTATCAGAGTCCAAGATATTCTAACAAGTGAAAAGAACAATGTCCTAGATCCATGATCCCTTACCCAATGGGAAAGGCAAACACATAACACATATTTAAAAAGAAATCCCCTTCCCTAGCAGACTTTTTTTGCTTTTGGCTTTTGTTTGTTTGTTTGTTTGTTTGTTTGTTTGTTTTTCCAGATAGGGTTTCACTCGGTTGCCCACGATGGAATGCAGTTGTGTGATCCTGGCTCACTGCAGCCTCAACCTCCTGAGCCCAAGTGATCCTCTATCTCAGCCTTCCAAGTAGCTGGGTCTATGGGTGCATGCCACTAGGCCTGGCTAATTTTTGCATTTTTTGTAGAGATGGGGTTTCACCATGCTGCCCAGACTGGTCTCGAACTCTGGCTCAAGCAATCCTCTCACCTTGGCCTCCCAAAGTGCTGAGATTACAGGAGTGAGCCACTGCGCCCAGCCCACAGTAGACTTTTCATGTGCAGCGTTTCACAGGCAAGGCCGTAAAAACAACTGTTGTAGGGGGATCATGAATCTTGCCTGTTCTGTGTCCCTAAAGGCAACAAAACATGTTTTATAACAAATGTGGCTTGTTACAGCCTAGCTTGCGATACACATTACTTGGATTAACTTCTTGAGCTCTCTGAGTGTGATACACAAATAATACTAGTTGTGTATCTTTTGCAATCTGGAAAACAGTAAAAATCTCTCTTTAGGCAAGACAACATATGGAGAAGAGGACAGATGCACTTTCATGAAGCAGTGAGCCAAGTGGTGCAAGATATGCCTTCTCTATGCAAAAAATTCCCATTTATACCTGCACATTCCTTTTGAAGGAAAAGATGTTCTTGGTTATTATCTTTTCCAACTCCTTATCACAGCCTTAAAATGAAAATGCTCATCCTTCAGGCTAAGTGATACATATACTCATATAAACACATATGATTATAAATATGCTAATAACATTTTGCATTAACACAGAGGATGAAAGTGCTTTATAGAAGTTACTGGGGCTCATTTATCCTTAGGATATCCACGAAATGGTAGCAGTAAGGGATAGTTTGCCAGCTTTTTCAAATGACAGAAAATTGCATGGTTTAAGCAGTCCATTTGCTCACAATAGTCTTACGAACTTTTTGCAGGGCCTTATGGAACACAGGAATGCTAACTGTGAGTCTGCCCTGACTTCTCCTACTGTCCCTCATAAAAAGATTGTGGTTGTCTGTTGCAATGATCTAGTGTTTTATTCTTACACTTTTCTCTTCCACTCTGGATCCTGCTAGCCACCTCCAGCTCATGGTCATTGGAACCACTGGAGATGCTGGCATGGCTGCTTGCACACAGACTCAGAAGTTTCCCAAGCTCCACCTTCCTGCTTTCTCCATTCCTCTGAATGACTGAATTTTCTTCAGATTTGCATTTCAGTTTACTTGTATGGTCTTGCTTCCCATACAACTCCAACCTACTTCATACTTAACTTGACTTGTTAAACATAAAGTCTCTTAAGAAATGTCCCCATGTCCTGCCCCAACTTGCAGACCACTTGGGCCTTCTGAATGTCACTGATCAAGGCTCAGCCTTGTGCTCTGTCCAGGGAAGGAGACGGGACACATAGAAAACCACCAAGTCAGTGACAACAAAACCTGGCTCCCTTAGGAAGGCCGTAGTTTCCCTACACCCTCCTCCGCCCCCAATCAGGATGTCAGGGTCTCCAAAACGTTCTCGGGAAAACATCAGAGAGCCCCTTCAGTCCTGCTGGAGTGATACTGTAAAGAGGAAGTTACCATGAGGGCTGTGTAGGTGTAGGGATAGTGGTAGGCCAGGTAGCAGACATCCTCATTGTGTGGGAAGGTGACAGCAAAGGTGAGGGTATAGTAGCACTTCCCAGATGCTCCGCCTGCAGCAGCTGTACTCTGGCGATAATGATTTCTAAAGAGAGAGGAGGAGAAGAGAATAAGGGAGAGGTGGGAGGGGGGTGCAGGGTCACTTAGGGCCCTAGATGCTATAAATCTTGGCGTTATATACTGTATTGGCACAATGGCCTTCACTTGAAACATTTCTGCAGGTGAAACTGAGAAAAGGGAAATGTACAAGTGAACTTACTGCCAGTTCATGAGTCAGTTCAGCAACATATAGCCTGGCCCATCTGCCTCCCAACTGTGCCATATATGCTACCAACCTTTCTTTGCTGTCTGAAAATGAGGGATGTCTAGTCATTGAGCTAGAAAATCGAGGTAAATGTGAACAGTTCTGTTTTTCCTGGGTTTACATTGGAGATATAAACTTTATCATCCAAATTTGGGTTCCCCCAATCCCTGTCTCTCCCCAGACCACATAGGGTACAACTCCTTCCTTTCCCCTCTACCTGCCAAGTAGATTTATCAGCAACCATAGGATATATCGAATTCCAATTCAACATATAACATATGTTATCTTATGTTATTATTGCAGCAACCCATCGTGTGGATGACGAAACAAAAGCTTAGAAAAGTTAATTTGCCAAAGGGCTGAAAGCGAAATGGTAGATACAGGACTAAGACCCAGATCTTTCTGGCTACAAAGGCTTTGTTCTTTCCACTGTACAATGCTTTCTTCCCAAAGGAATATATTTGTCACCTCAAATGTGGTTCAGCTTCGTAAGGCTTGAGAGTGCACATTTTCCTTTGTCAAAGATGAAGAACCAATTTTGATACTTCAGAGAACAGTATCAAAGAAAATTGCACCCAGAAGTCCATTCCGAGCAATATTTTCCCCACACACTGCCAATTGATGCTCAGACAGCTGCGCAGGCTTTCCTGAGAAATGTTATCATCAAGGCTGCATTATAATGCAAAATACACCCGGACACCAAGAGATGTAATTCCACCTTTGAACATTTACAACGTTGGCTTACTAGTCCATTGTGCTTTTGGTTTTACTGGGGGAAAGGGAAGGGGAAGGGAAGAAATAGTAGGTAATTATTCTTGTGTGTTCTTGAAAAATATAAAAAACATAGGTTATTCTTTTCTACTTTTTTGCTACCTTCATGCCACTACCTACCTAAGCAAAAAGCAAGCATAGAAGAAAGAGATAGAAAATCTATTATTTTATTTCTCATGGTTTTGTGGCTTTTCAATATTTAGACACCTAGGAATGGGACTAAGGCAAGCTGGTAGCCCACTGACTATGGCCTGATACCTTTATCTTGAATCAGCTTCTGTCAACATGGCAACCTAGAGCCTTGGTCATGCTAGGGAAAGGAGGGTACCCTGTAACAACGTCAGCCCCAAGTGGCTGTCACACCCAGGTTTTTGGCATTGTATTAATAGAATCCATTTCCTTTGTGCCTACAGAAATAGAAATTCCAAAAGAGTGTCTTCCCACATGGTGTGATATGGATCGCAATGCTTAATTGAGTCTACTTTGCCAGATTGCCCCAAAGTTCTGAAGCTTCTCCAAAAGCTATGATTCTGGTTATTAGAAAGTATGTAAAGAAGCAGATGGTAGCTCAGAAAGCATGCAAGTTACATATGCTCTACCTCTTATTTGCTTTCTGATTTCCCTTGTAAAGCCTCCATGCAAACATACACTCAGTTTACACCTTGCTGAACAAAATGCTAGTCAATTACTCCTCTTTATAGGAAACAGCAGTTGAAATCAAATGAGCCAGGGATAACCAATCAAAGCGTGGAAGAGTGCTTCACTTGTAAGCATATATGTGTGGGTGCACACACAGATGTGCACGTATTCATGAATGTAAAGGCAGATGGAAACACGCACATTGTGCTTCACTGTCCCCAGTTCTTCGCCTGCAAACCGTGGAGACAGAGCCTGTATCTTGACTCAAGAATAATAGGTGTCCCTAAGGGCCAGTAAGGTTGGTCTTATTTGGCATGGGCCTTGCTTCTTTTTACGTTCCCCACTGCACTATTAGTACACTAAAGTCATATCACAAGCACATTTAGCCTGTGCAAACTCAGCCTCACCACATTCAACCACAGGAGAGACCAAGAAAGACAGAGAAAAAAAAATCCATGTATTTATCTCTGTCTTTCCCTCATTCAGACCAAATCTGGACTCCAAGGAAAGAACAGCTGCAGTGAAATGGAAAGAGAAATAAAATGGGCTAATCATTAGCTCTTGAGCTTCCAGGGGCTCAAGATTTAAGGGAAGTGTAAGGAATTCAAATGGTAGATTTGATTATGTCAAATCTGCCTTCTCACACCACCAACATATATACACATACACACAGTCTCCCTCTCTCTCTCTTTCCCTCACCTAACACACTACCCCCCACAGCTTGGTGATGTTAGATTCTCCTGATCAAGACTAAAGGCTCTCCACCGACAAGTCAGTCTTCTCCAGGATGGTTACACACTGCTGGAATTCCAAAAACAAAAATATTATTAACACCTTATTTAGAATGACTTTCAGCTAAAGGAAATTCAGTTACAACCCTCGCCTGGGGTCTAAACTCTGGCTGAACCTAAAGCAAATGTCAGGCATCCCCACCGGAGTCTCCTGGCAGCCCCCTTGTAGCAGGAGTTGTCCAGGAGATGACTCTACTTCCAGCATACCTTCCTCTGCAGAGGCCTTTAAACTTTCCCAAGATCATCTTCTTCAAAGCCAAGTGTTTGATAAATCTCTAAAGTGAAACATCTGGCTTGCTACAGTTTAGTTCATCCATGATAAACTGAGATCCCATCAACAAGCTCTTTTCTTTTCCCAGTTATGATGTGGACATATCGAGTGATATTTGCAAGAAGCAATGTTCATCCTTCCTATGTTAAATTGTTCCCATGTTCTTGCTTTATATGGAAAGCCCTTTCCATCTTCCTTATTTAGCTAAGTCTCCTTCATCCTTCAAGATTTAACTCAAGTGTTTCCTCTTTCAGGAAGCCTTCCTTGATAGCCCCCTTATCACTCCTATTCTCATGGCCAATACTTTGTGGCAAGGACCATGCTTATTCATCTGTTTATCTTTATGCTTCCCACATTGCCTGGACATAGCAGCTGTTCAGTTAAAGTTTGTATAATAAGTGGACCCAAGACTCCAGGAGTAATAATTAGGTTGCTCAATGTATTTTATCTCCAATCCTAATGACACCCTTTCAAGGTGAGTATTATTACACACTTTCAACAGATGGGAATTAAGGCTCACAGAGGTTAAGTGTCTAGAGCAATTGCACACAACAAGTATAGTAAACAGGATTTAATCCCAGTTGTAGGCTTAGCTCAAAAACTAATTTTTTTTTTTATTATATCACCTGCTTGTTAGGAATGGATAAAAAACGACAAGATGTCTTATGCCCAATGTAGCAAGTAAGAATCTAAAGTTTTTATCTTCATAAATCAGAGCTGCCTATGAACTTACAGTCCAAAATAACAGAAAAAAAAGGAAAATAATCCAGCTGAGAGTTAATATGATCCACATACTATGACTTTTATATCATTGATATTTGATGCCACTAAGAAGATGTTTTTACTAATTATTTAAAATAATTGCTAGCATTCATTGAACACCTACTATGCACCAGACACTGTTCTAACCTTTACACATGTTTTATCTCACGTCATTTTATCTTCAGAACACTTCTATTAGGTAGATACCATTATTATCCCATTTTAAGATGAAGAATCTGAGGTTGAAAGAAGTTGGTATAATTTGCCCAAGGTCACGCCATTAATGAGTGGGAAGTCTGAATCAAAGAACTTCCTCTCCTCAATCTGTTCATCTAGATGGAGAAGCAGCCTGGTGAAAATCAGAAGTGATCTTGAAGATTAGCTGGGTTCTATTGGTCATCTGGGGTCAAAGATGACCTGGGCTGGGTACATCCAGCAACTTCACAGCTAAAAGGCTTTTTGTTTGCTTTTCTGTTCCCTGAACCATTTATCTTTGGAAGGATCTGTACTTTTATAATCATAAAGACTTCAATGAAGCAAGGAGCAAGTACACGAAGGCATAGTTATGAACTCAGGTTATTTCCATTTGTACTTAAAAATATGCTGGAAAGTCATTGTTTCTTTTTGGCAGGGTGCATAAAATAAGCAAATGCCATGATGGAGAATGGATTAGATAATCTTATAATGACAATGGCTCTGTTCAACAAGCGTGCATCATTTCACTTAACAGGATCTAATAAGGCAGAGCAGTGAAGTTGCCAGGCTTCCCTGTGTCTGCAGCATTTCTAATATTCTATATAACACCAAATCTCTCTCCTGAGATCCCGTGGAAGGATGCATGATGGCAGAGCTCTTATATGACATTCATCTTCATGAGTGAGCTGTTCCATCTCCTCTCATGAGCGGAGATAAATGTCAGAAGAGATCAGCCGTTGTGTATTACATGGCCACTCTAAGCGCACAGCTTCCCTCCCTCTGCCCTTCAGCACCAAAATTACTTTAGACCAGAGCGGGGAAAGAATTCAAAAAGGTGTGTGGCTGTGCACATCAGAGGAAGAAGCAGACCACAGGGAACTAAATAAAAGAGAAACTAAAAGGGCCCTTACTTACTTTTACTAGAGGCAGGGAAAAATGAATCTGCCCATTTCTGTTCCTCCCTCTCGAGGGGCATTTTTTATTTTCCAGCCTAGTGATCTTCAAGGTGGGAAAGAGCAAGGGGTGGAACAGAAGGGGTGGGAGGTGCTCCATGGGAGGGGCAGAGTGATCAACTGACCACAGGCAGAAAATATTAGAATTTCTCCTCAAAATGATTATTACCTAGATAGTAAGAAAGAAATTAAGTCGTCTACTGTTTAATATGGGGATTGGCATAGCTGTCTCAATGTCAACCTAATGTGTCAAACCAGATGATGGTGCAGCAATCTTATCCACTCATCACTGTTGTATTCCAGGTCTGGAGTATGAAAAACACATTATATCTGCTTCTGTGGTTTTTACATGTTAGTTAAGCATTGATTGTTGCGTAGGAGAGGTCTCCAAAGGGAGAAGTGGGAACAACTAGCTCCCTTCCTTTTTCTTTTGCTTTTAGCTTCCGGCAAGGTATTTCAGTCTACGGAAGCATACTTTGATTTACAGATTGTATTACCTAAATTAAACTAAACCTCACAAAACAGACAATTACTGTTTAAAAGAAAATCTTCTTAGAAGCCATCTATTGATGTTAAAATTAAATTGCAATCAAAATGACCAGAAAATGGCAGAATGGACATGGCCTACCCCTTATCCTTAATATTAGGTCTTTCTCAGTAGTTCTCATTTTTGTTAAAATAATCTAATCAGATCTAGAAAGTTAAACAAAATTTCTCAAAATTACCAAAAAGACTATTTATAACTACATCTAATGGTAAACTCCACGGCAAAATTCTAGTGTGCCCTAAGCTATAAATAGCATAAAGATGTAACAATTAGGTAGCTATAAACTATTATTTGTTTCATCTTTCTCTCCTAATTTAAAAGTCTTCATTTTTTGCATACTTTCTTATATGCATAATATGTTAGTATAGTAACGCATATATACTTTTTTAAATGTATAAACTAATCTAGTAAGAACACAAACAAATATATCTTATTGCTTAGTGGCATATTGTCAAAATAGTTTGGAGACTTTTCATTTTATGACAATTGGCCCTCCAGAGTAGTCAGCCCACATCCTCAACTGCTCATCATTGCTGTCAACTTCAACTTCTGAAGGAAAATGCAAATGCAAATCCCATTTCTTCTGAATCTCCTTTTTCCTTTCACCCTTCTAGAAACATACTCAGGTACCACGGCTCACAGCTGTCCCCACAATGAGCACCCTGGCATCCTCTTAAAACATGGCACCAAATCTGGGACTTTAACAGCACAACAGAAATAGAGCAGAGTTTCTAAAGATATATGGGAGATAAGGAAATAGGGAAGTAAAGTGCTCCCCAAATTAATATACCAGAAATAATAAAGGCAAAAGAGAAGCAAAGAACTCTTGTAAAGCAAATCAACTCAAAGATCAGGATGGGTAAATAGGGAGAGAAATATTGTATAATCTAATGCATCATTTTACAATTGAGAGAGGTGTTCTAATTTGTGGGTGAATAGAGATTACACATATCTATCCTGTTGTTACATCATATTATTGGGAATATGTTAACACAACGTGGTGAATAATTATAAAACAAACTACATTACAATGTAGCAATCTTATCCATTCATCTCTGCTGTATTCATGGCTGCAATGTGAAAAATTAATTACATTATACATTCATGGTTTTTTCTTATCCCTCTGTTGCTCTTTAATCACATAATAATTGTCTTGCTAATAGCTCTAAAAGCTATCAGAATTGGTTCTCCTTAGGTCAAGGCTGTGCTTTTGAAAGTGTGACTTCTTCCTTCTTTTGGGAAATACGTGGTCCCCTCAGCCTTCTTATTCCCCAATTCCAAGAGGAGCATCCTCCAAAGGGACATTTATACATCCCATTAGGAAATAATGCAAAATGTTATGTTTGTCCAATCTGTTACTAACTTTCAGGTCCAAGCCAGCTCTAAGCTGGGTCTTTCACATTTACTAAGAATAACTATTTTCAGAGAAAACTAAAACTCATGCTTGACACACCAAGGTCCAAAAGTAGATTTTCATAATTTTTTTTCTGCAGTTGCAGACTATCACCTTGAGGTGATGTTTAATCTAAATCTCTCTGAACCATAAGAAAGGCCCTGAGAGTCTTAAGATAGGTGAGCCAGAGAGTAGTTGCCATTTAGGTGAATGGAAAACCAACAAAGTCATAATATTGTGCAATTTTTCTAAAGGATATAAAAAATCCTCTTTAGATCCATAACCTAATAGATCAGGGATTGAATACCTCCAACTCTTTTATTACGGACTGCTAGTCAGCCTGGCTCTGTGTCTTGTAGACTATCATTATCTCCATGGTGATTTTTGCCTTTGTATCTGATACAGCAACAAGATTCTTGACCTTTCCCATCTATCTATACTCCTATCCTCAAAGTCTCAAAAGTCAAGAGGCACAAGGGTATATACTCTGTTTCCTTTCCATAGTGACAACTATCCTAAACTCCAGAATGTCTGATCATACTTTTTTAGATGGCTCTAGTAATTTCAGAAAGAGATGAAACTTACTTTATTTAAGAAAGTAAGTACTAACCTCTCAGTTTTTATAAGAAATTAGCACTGAACTAATAATTAATTTTATATATATATATTCTTCCTCTCATAGCAATTCCTATCCTTATTTTCTTATAAATTTGAATTTTATTTTTCATCTGAAGAAAATATACACGTAAGCAATCTAGATGTCTGGAATGCATTTCTTTCATCAAAATATATGGACAATTTAAAGTTCATTGTAACTTTGCAGGATAAACTGATGAAACTGGAGACTGATCAAGGATTAAAGGTGAATTTTGAAACTCCTCCCTCTTTTATTTTTTTCCACAAAATTACCTTGCTATGGGGAGGAGTTACATATGTGAAATTGTCACATATTCACCCTCCTGTACTTTGGAAAACTAAACCACGGGGCGGATAGAAACAGGATAGAACATCTCAGACATTTCACTCTCTGGGTTCAGCGGAAGTAAGTAAAGAACTAAGGCTTGACATACTAATCACAGGTAGAATCTCTACGACTTCTAATGTCTGACAACAAGATTTAAAAGTTTTAATGTGTTTAAATGAAGATAAACTCTTTCAGCAAATCAAAAGGTATTTCTCAAGGTCTACTGTGGGTGCCAGTGAATATGCTTATACCTCTGAAGAGCAGGACATTGGCCATTAGGACAGAGTGACAAAAAATTTATCAGACAAGCACAGATTGCTAATGTTTCTAAGATCAATATGGAAAAGTGAGAAATTGAGAGAAAATTACAGGACAGAGAAAAGGAAGCTAATAGCGCTCTAACTTACTTGTAGTAACATATTTCATAGCCTGTCCTTATCCAGGTGGGTCTGCCAAGAAGGGCCTCCTTCACGGAATACAGGGTGGGCTGCATCCCTACACAAAATCAGAAAAGGAATTAATCTTTACATGAGGGAAAGAGAGTTGTTCTGCACCAAATAATGATCCTCAAAGATACATAGGTCTTAATCCCTGGAAACTGTGACTGTCAACTGTATATGGCCAAAGAGACTCTGCAGATATGATTAAGTTAAGGATCTTGAGATGGGGTGATTATCCTGGTGAGTCCTAAATGCAATCACAAATATCTTTATGAGAGGGAGGCAGAGGGAGGTTTGACTATAGAAGAGATGCAATGTGGCCAGGCATGGTGGCTCATGCCTGTAATCCCAGCACTTTGGGAGGCTGAAGCTGGCAAATCACGAGGTCAGGAGATTGAGACCATCCTGGCTAGCATGGTGAAACCCCATCTCTACTAAAAATACAAAAAATTAGCTGGGCATGGTGGCATGCACCTGTAGTCCCAGCTACTTGAGTGGCTGAGGCAGGAGAATTGCTTGAACCTGGGATGCAGAGGTTGCAGTGAGCAGAGATTGCACCACTGCATTCCAGCCTAGGTGACAAAGCTAGACGCTGTCTCACAAAAATAAAAAATTTAAAAAAAAAGAGAGATGCAATGTGACTGAAGCAGAGAGAGATTTCAGGATGCAACACTACTAGCTTTGAGGATGCAAGAATGGACCATCAGCCAAGGAATGCAGGGAATGTTACTCTAGAAGCTGGGAAAGGAAAGAAAATGGAGTTTCCCCTGGAATCTCTAGAGGAAACATGGTTCTCCCAACAGCTTGACTTCAGCTCAGAGAAACTGATTTTGGACTTCTGAACCCCAGAACTGTAAGAGAACAGATCTGTCTTGTTTTAAATCACCGAGTTTGTGACAATTTGTTACAACAGCCATACAAAGTGAATATAAATATCAAGGTTCCCATGTTTTCTCTTCTCATACCCACAAGAATCTGTTTAGTCACTACAAAATAGAGGCAGTATCCTGCACTTGGCCCTAGACACTGGGAATACTTATTCCTCCTTCAAAGTCACCCAGTAAATTAGTATATGATGCAGAAATTGTATGCAGAATTTCCACTCCTTGAAACATTCAAAATAAATACAGGCTGCTCATCAGCCTTTGTCTCTTGAATATCTCCTCCAAAATGGCCACGGGTAATCAGGAGAATTTCAACTTCTTCAAGAGCTTTCTAAGAATGTCAATCAGTATTGTGCAATTGAATTTTGTTTTTCCTCTATCTTGCAGGAAAAAAAGCAGGTCAAAGCATTTGCTCCTATGGGACTTAGGAGATGGAGAGAAGGAATAAATGAGAGGGCTTACCAACCTCAAAAGATTCAAGGTAGAGTGAGGGAATCCAGAAGAAGTGGATGTCATGTGTGGCAGAGTGAGGATGCCCAGCCTCCCCTCTAAAGTAGCAATGTGCCACTGAGGGCCACTGCCTGCCTTGCTGCACCTGGCAACCCAAAACTCCGCCCAACTTCAAACCCTCTGAACCCAAGCAAGGCTGTTTGAATCCAAACAGTCAAGAAATGTCATTCCTGGCATGTTCCAGAAAGCCCCTAGAGTTCATACCATAATTAAACTGGCTGTTGGGCTTCTCGCAGTTGATGATGTTGAAGTGGTAAGGGACGGCCGCCTGCATACCGCTCACTTTGAAATAGAACCACTGCTGGTGCTGGGTGCTGTTTACATCCACGTTGACCAGCAAGTCATACTCAAACCTGCAGATCAGAAGCAAGACTGGAGGGTTATCTGGGAAGCCTTTAAGGTAAACTTCAGATACTGAGAATCTACAGGTTTCAGTTTCTGGGTTATAGATCTAAGACCCAGGATCTCAGCTTGCTGGTAAGTTATACTTATCATACTGATACCACAATATTGGGTACAGATTTTGGAAATTCATGGAGGTGAGAGGGCTTCCTAATATTGTAAGAGTCAATTATGCAATAGTGCATATTTTTAATTTTTTAAATTATTATACATACACAATAGTTGTATTTATTTATGGGGTACATGTGATATTTTGACACAATAATACAATGTGTAATGATCAAATCAGGGTAATTGAAATATCTATCTTCTAAGCATTTAACACTTTTTTGTGTTAAGAAATTCCAGTTCTAGTCTTTTTACTATTTTGAAATATTAGCATATCTTTTTATTAAACTATAATGAAGTTTTTATCTAGCTAGAAAAAATCCAAATGTGTTATATACCAGAGAAAATTCAACCACATCTGGTTTGGATATGCCATTACTATTTGATGATCAACATTATTTTGAGCCTCAATTTCCACATATGGAAAATGGAAGTGTCTAAACTTGTAGTGCTATTTATAAAAATCAAATAACCTAGTAAATATAAATCCCCCAACAAAACAACAAACATGAATTAGGCTAGCAATGCAGGGGTTGTTTCATTTTCATTGTGATATAACTCCCATGCTATAAAATACACACATCTTAAATATACAGCTCAATGAATCTATCCACATCTGAAATCACTTGTGTGACTACTACCCAGATATAGGACATTTCCAGCACCCCAGGAGGCCCTCAGCAATCCTCTCCCCATCACTATATCTCCAAAGGTTATTATTTTTCTGATCTCTAGCAACAGAACTAGCAATGCAGTTTTGACTTAAACATTATCAGGATATTTTATTTTAAAAAATACTGTTTCATCCTCTTGGTATTCTCTTTGAGTTGCTTTTATGAAAAGTAAAATGTTTTTGTCCCAATCCATTCATACTCTCCCACACCGGACCCCTGGTAAATGGCATTGTATGAGATTTGTGAAAGGCTAGAGCTTGGTATAAGACAGATGAGAGCAGAGTAGAGCTCTCTGATGGAGTCCAGTCCTCACACTGGCGCTGTGGGCACCACACTCTAACCACTGGGCTCACCATACAACACATGATGTGTAACCCATGGAGTGGCACTCACAAGAACAATTCTGGAAAGGCTATGACCCTCAAATTGTCTGCTATTCCCACAGTGCTCTCTCCAAAAAGTAATCATAAAAATTCCTTACCCAATAGTAGGTTTGTTTACTGTTACTTGACTCTATTACCCTGACCATAACTGATGAGTTTAGGATTTTACACTCTGGTCCAAGGGAAATGGATAGAGAAAAAGACCTGAGCTGGGCCAGCAGCTTAGCCACATCCTGATCTGATAACTGTTCCACCAGGAGACTCATAATCAGGTCTCCTCTCCTGGATCCTTTGAATGTGATACCTGGAGAGAAGAAACAGTAAAAGCAGGAGCCACAGGAAGAAGTGGAAACTAAGCCAACAACACAAAGAAGGCTGATAAACAGTCTTGACATGATTGTCTTTCCTGTCTTCAGCCTGATTAGTTAAACTCATCTCTGTTTTATATGTTGGGCTTCCTTGAAACATTTTATGTGCAAAAAAAAGATCACCCTTCACCTCCCCCAAAAAGGAAAAACTTCAAAAATGAATCCTCAGGTGGATATAAAAGAGGTCTCAGCTATACTGAATTCCGAGCTCCAACCATGATGAATATGCATCCCTGAGTAAGAACGGATGTTGACTAAGGGCTGATCATGTACCAGGTACTACTCTAAGAGCTTTAAGTGTATTAGTCAGCTCTCATGAAATCCCTAAGAAGTAGGTGCAATTATTGTTCTCATTTTGTGAGTGAGGAAATAAAGGCATGGAGTGAGTTAGGAAACTTGCTCAGTCTCCTGGTTGGAAGGTGATGAAGTTACCCTGGCACTCTGATTCTGATGTCTGTCTATGGCCACCACACCATTATCTGTTCTGGACTGTTTTTTCAGAAGTTCACCTATAGAAGATGAATCATATATCTTGCCTTTTGGTACAAGGGAAATATATCCACATTGCTATAATAGAAAGAATTTTAACACAGGGAGAACTGCAGTCTCTTCTGACACAAAAAGAAGTAAAATTCATGTGTGTTTTATTTCCTTTCTTTTAGTTTGTACAGCCCTAGACTTTCCTTGGCTATGATATCCTTTTCTACTGAGAGCTCATCTGTAGGTTCTGCTAGAGAGGCGTGGTACTGCATCTTCCCTTGAATGCAGGCTGGTTCACCTCTCTCTGGGAAGCTCATGACTTTTGCCACCTAAGTACACAGGAATGAGAGCAACAGGCCTGGAGAAGTGGAGACATAGCAAGCCCATGTACTCTTCCGGGTCAGCAGAATCAGCCTTGGCATCAAAGTATAAACATCCCAGTCAAAGTGCTCTCACACCCAAATATGGACCCATTATTTGAAACACAAGACACATTAATAACAGTTCACCTCTACTGAATGGCTCACTTAGCTATGGTATCAGTGAGTTCCCTAGTGGTGTACTGGTAAATGTTTAACAAATGACTCCCTGAGAGGAAAAACCTTCCCTTGTACTGTTTGCCAATTTTTGACGTATAAATACTCCCACCATGACTGATTTCAAGTCACCAATGTGAGGTCACTGAACAGAGCATGGAGAAGAGACAATCACAGCTTGCTCTTACGAACTGCCAGGAGATACCCACTGTGGTTTTCCTTACTTACTCACGCACTTGGATGGCTTTGCGAAGATTTCCTGACTCAAATTTAGAGAAGAACTGTAAACAATTGGAAGCATTGTCTTGCAAAGGCCTACAATGAAATAAGGAACAGGTGAACATATGTGTTATCACTACTCTTTGAAAACTGTGATGATTCTTTTTTTTTTTTTCATTATTTATTATTATTTTTGAGACGGAGCCTTACTCTGTCATCCAGGCTGGAGTGTGGTGGCGCCATCTCAGCTCACTGCAACCTCCGCCTCCCAGGTTCGAGCAGTTCTCCTGCCTCAGTCTCCCGAGTAGCTGGGACTACTGGCACCCACCACCATGCCCAGCTAATTTTTTGTATTTTTAGTACAGACAGGGTTTCACAGTATTAGCTAGGATGGTCTTGGTCCTGAACTCACGATCCGCCTGCCTCAACCTCCCAAAGTGCTGGGATTATAGGCGTGAGACACCACGCCTGGCCAATGATTCTTAAAGGTAAACTTTTTCTTATAGATCTTTAACCTGAATTTTCATCATGCTATTTTAGGAGGAGGAGTGGATTATTAACAGGAAACATGTCTATTCTCATGCCATTAACAGAATTCTTCATGCCCCGCATTCCTCGGATGCACAAGACTACCTACCAAGGCTCATCTAAACTGAAGACAACTTTATTTATAACATCACTTGGCTGGATGAGCCTTCGAATATCCTCAAATATCCTGATCCTGAAAAACAAAATTGAAAACATTTTAAGGGTCAGCCTTCTCTCCCTAGCTCACTCATCCTATGATCTCCTGGGAAGAACTTTGGAGGTCATCAGAGAAATATGAAAGCACAGAGAAGTTTAATAACACCTCAACCTTGAGCTCAGAGAGTGGAAATAGCCCTGCCCTCCTTCTTTCTCTTTCTTTATCAAAAAAATAAACTGCATGAGAAGTAGGAATGTAGGAAGTAGTGATGTTAGATTTCAGTTAGAGAATTCTTGGCTTGAAGAATTTTATCAAAAGCACTTGTGTTGGGGGACTTTGGAACTTTTCTAGCTGTGGGAATAAGAGGGTAGTTTGCACTGAGAAAGTTTTGAGGAAGACATTAGGACTATTAGCTGCCAGCGTCTTCAAGGTTTGGTAGGCTCCAATAAGCCTGTGTGACCTTGTACAATTTATATTCCTTGGGCTCTGCCTGCTCCAGTAGGCTAAGGTCAGTCTTCTAAGAAACACCAAAATCTGGGATATTTAACTAAGAGAGAGAAAGAAAGCTTAGGAGGTCTTTCAGATTACCTTCCTGAATTTCCAGTCCAGTTCACAGGGGAGGTGTGAGAGAAGGGTGAAGAAAAGTAGATGTGAGGCCTGGACTCAGAGGGAAGATGTCCTATGCAGGGATAAGATGGTGCTAGAACAGCCCTTGTGATCTGTTTCTCAAAAACATGAGCAAGACAGATAAAGGCAGGGGGTAGGGTCGGATATGTCAGCCAGGACCCCAGGTGGGAGCAGTTTGGGGGATTTACCATCAAGAGAATAATTTACCAATGATGTGGATAATAAGAAAACTTTCTGGTCTGCCCACTTTGCTCCACTGACTTGGTATGTGCATAAAGTTTTTTCAAGAAAAATAATGTTTTCTTTGCCTTTAGCAGTTTTCATTTTAATCTCAATATGCTGAGCCACGGGCAAAGCTCCCTTTCCTGCCTTCTGGGAATAATCTATCATCCAGTGTTTCTTCCCTGGAGAATGTCTTTTCCATCCCCCACTCTGTGAAGCAGCAAAACTATTCTCTGAACTAAGCCAGGGTTTATAATACCTGGGGCTCCTCCTTTCTATTAGCAAGATATCCCATACCAATTTGTAGGAAGCAAGAAAAGAGATCCCAAATAATCAGTTCTTGATTTTTCTGAAAACCTACTTTTGAGGAAGGAGCCCAGTATTTGGGGAAACTAGATGATCTTTCTTTGTGATAGTGGTTTGCAATGGAGATAGGATAAGGAGTTGTATTAGAATTACTCAAGGAATTTTTCATCAGAAAATACATCCCTACAACTACCCCATACTTGATTGTGAAATGTCCTTGCAGGAAGGGAAGTTAGTGTGTTTGGTCAGTTTGCCAACAGGCTTTAACATGTTCCTGATTAATGCTCACTTTCCTATAGATAATAGAATTATCTGTACAAACCATTTACTTATAAAATTATCAAAGAACAGAAAAAAAAAGAGCTGCCAAGTCAGTAGCGCCATCACCTTTGGACTCCACATTTGCGTTCCAACATAGGCTGAGTGGTGGAAGGGGGACAGTGTCCCCAGACATCAGGAAATGCCACCATCTTGAAGTCCACCACAGAGCTGGTTCTTCTGGCTTTGGCCATATAAAGATAGGGATCGTGGAAAGGGACACACTTCAGATGTGTCTGCAGAAGCTTATCTATTACTTCAACAGCCTCTCCAGTCCTAGTGGAATTAGAAAAGGAGGCACTCATCCTTGGGCAGAAAATTGCATCTATGTCCCAGGCATCTGCTTTCAGGGAAGCCTGAATGTCAGGGATTTCACTTCCAGAAGAATCTCTCCCAAGACTATTGGATTGCACATTTTGGTACGGGTTCACTCCAGGCTTTCTTTTGGAGCCTAGATGCACAGTGGACCTTTGTGTCTTCACCATGCACAGAAGGGAACTCCGGACAGAGTCTTCCCTTTCTTGTCCACAGGAGCTTTGGTCCTTGTTGTAGCAGTGCTGCTTTGAGGAGGCAGCAGTCAGAATGTGGTGGTGATTCGCATACTGAGTCTTCTCAGAGTTCAGATCACCTCCAGGTTTGGACTCCAGTTCCTTCATGTTCAAAATGGAATAGAATATGTTAGTGTGTCCTTCCAGGTAGAGAATACAATTTGATCCCTGTCCTTACTCTCTCGGCACAGAGCTAAGCATAAATCCTATGAATCTGGAAGCTTTCTCCAAGGTCAACTAAGAAAGACTAACCTTCAAGAGTCAAATAAATGACAGAATCATAGAAACTCATGTTTGGAAGGGCCTTTTGGTGGCTCTAGTCCAACGCTAAACAGTATTTGAATGTCTTCTTCAAGACCTCCACTAAATTACAATCTGGTTGAAAAACCGTATTTATGGGGACCTCACTGCACCCCAAGGCAGTGCCTTTCACTTTAGGATAATTCTGTTTATTTGAAATAAGTGTTTATACTAAACTGAAATTTCCTTCCCTGAAACTGTTATAACTAATCGCCTTCTGCTTTCTGAAGTCAAATAGAATGTATTAACTCCCTTCTGTACACGTGACTTAACTTATACCCTTAGATTCAGCCAAATTCAAGATTTATTACTAAGAGTCATAAGAAAATAATGGAGATCAAAAAGCAGGTCTAAAATATTGATGGCAGCAACAGTGGTAGTAGCAACTAGGCACAGAATTAGCATCACCAGGTCTAACATTCCCAATTTGTTTCTACTAACAAAGAAAGCCTGAAGTCAGGATGTCCACCTTCAAAAACCCATCTAGGACAACAGTCCCACTTGGCACGAGAACAATTAAATCATCATGAATTTTTATTTGCTTTTTCAGTGCATGGGGGCAAGGCACCCTGCCCACCAGACAATAGGTAGTGATATGTACCTTCATGCTACAGTCATGCATTACTTAACAACGCAGGATGTTCTGAGAAAGGCATCATCAGGTGATTTCATCATTGTATGAACATCATAGGGTGTGCTTACACAAACTTAGATGGCATAGCCTACTGCAAACGTAGGCTGTATGCTGTAGCCTATTGCTCCCAGGCTACAAATCTGTACAGCATGTTACTGTACTGAACACTGTAGGCAATAGGAACACGATGGCATTTATGTGTCTAAACATAAAAAGTTGCAGTGAAAATACAGTCTTATAATCTTATGGGACCATCGTGGAATATGCTGACTGTCATCAGTGGAAATGTCATTAGGCAGCTCATGACTGTGTATCCATCCTAAGTGCAGGGTGTCAGATTGAAGAACCCTTGCATACATCCTAAATCTTTCCCATTTTTGACACCTTTTCCCATTTTTGTTTAACATTCTGCTCTTCTCTAAGGAAGAGGCCAGAAGCAGATGGCTAATGATGAGCAGTGCTTTCCATCTGGATACCCTGGTTTGGCCTCCCAGGGTCTGCAAAGAATCCATCATGCATCGTCAAAGATCAGAACCACAGCATATGTCCTACCTCAAAGCTATAGGAGAGCTCAAGACACATCGCCTCATATTGCATCAGTTCCTCTTCAGGTCGGTCAAGACCAGGTTTGGAAGTTAGCTTGTTCACATCTGTTTCCAAGTCATCATCCTACATGGAATAGTCATAGAAGAGATTACAATCAGGAAATCCACCATGAGAAGCATCAAGACAAGATACGTATGTGCTTCTTCAGAATCTTAGGACGTGGTTTTCTTGCCTCCAAATTATAGCACTAGCCTATCCAGTGAAAAATTTGTTATGCTGGATTGTATTTTTAAAATGAAAAGAAAGAAGATAAACAACTTGTCTCAGCATTTATGTCAGTATTTGTCAGCCTTCATCAGAAATAAAAATTTGTATGAGATAAACTACATAATCAATAAAACATATTATAAAAGAAATTCTTTATCTCATTGCTACTATCATCAACATCATTGTAATTATTGCCCCTCCTTATCTATCTTTGACATTTAGGTTTAGTCAATCTTTTCACAAACATTTAATCAGTACCAACTGTGAGCAGGTACTCTTCTAGGTACTGAAGTTTCAGTCACAATGGAACAGACAAACATCCATGCTTCCACAGTTATTTGCCTTTTGCGAGAGAAGAAACACAGTAAAGAAGAAAGCAAACAAATGAATACATTAATTTCCAACAGTTATAAGTCCCTTTGAAATGATAAAAGAGAGTGATGTGACTAAGATTGGGGAATGGGAGGCCGTTTGGTTTGGGAGATCTCAGGAGGACTCATAAGGAGGTAATGTTTTAGCTGAGACCTAAATGGCAAAAAAACAAACAAAAAAAAAGCCAGCTATGCACAGGCCTAGCAGTAAATTATTAAAGAAGGAAAAACTTCAATTTGCTTACAGAAAGAAGGTGGCTGATGCATACAGAATAAGAGGAAGATTGCAGGAGAAGAGATTTGAGAAGTAGGCAGGAGAGAAATTATATCAATCCTTACAAGACATGGGGAGGAGCTGGTAGTCTCCTACTACATCTTTATCCTTTTGTACATTTAAAAATTTACCAAGGCACCACGAGTCTTTTATTTATTGGACTGAATAATCCAAGGCACTTTATTCTTGATAGATCATCATTTCAAAACAATTTAATGATAATGGTGACTCTCCTCTGAATACTTCTGGGTTTTCCAAGGGTTGTAGGGTCTTACAGAGAAAAGGCACCAGGTATCAACCAGCCTAGTCTCTTCATCTTTCCATATCCTAGATTAAGTTTCCTTAACGAAATAGAGAAAAAAAATACCATATGTTTTACAAGTATATTTCATTAGTTAAGGAAAAACCTGGCAGTCCTGAAAGGTTAAATCCAACAAACATAGAAAATAAATGTTTGTATTCCTGATCCAAGGGGAACAAAATGCAATGTTCCAGCTATGTTTCACAGTTTTTCTCCAAACTTCAAATTAAAAGAAAAGCAATTCCCTTGAGTTTCATGTAATGATATTTTCAGGTACAGTATACACCATGACTAACTCCATGGCCACCACTCTTGTGCTTTGCAGCTTCATCTATCAATTCCCACTTGTCTCCACCCCCTCCGCTGCAACCTCAGCAATGGCCCAGAGTGGCACTAATGGAACCACCACCTGGAAGGCCATTGGGATGAATGTCCACAACAGCGAGTAAGGTTGTGCTCCAACTGGTGCATCTGAAGGGAGGAGAATCATGCAACCCATGAGCTGTAACCTAATTCATTCCACATGTGACTAGGCAATCCACTTAGCCTTAGAACAGGGGTTAATAAACTATGGTCCACTGGTTGTTTTTGTCAATAAAGTTTTATTGGAACAGAGCCACACCCATTCATTTGGTCATGGCTGTTTTCTCAGTGCAACAGCAAAGTTCAATAGTTGTGACAGAGACCATTTCTGCCTTCAAAGTTCTGGAGCTTAGTCTCTGAGAACCAGGCACTCAGCCAGGTTGCCACCTCCTTTTGTATTTCTTATAAATGGCATTTTTTCTTATCTGGAGGTGGCCGGCTTCTGCGTCCTCACAGCAGCCCAGGCAGTCCTTTACCAACTAGGATTCTGCTACCCACCTAATCCAGGTAATGCTTTCTGGCTCTTGTTCCATAGGTTGGAGCTCTTGGACATTGTCTTTTGGCTGCCTCAAACTTGAGTTCACCACTCCATTGAAGGTGGTGATTTGAACACTTAATAAGGACAAACTCCAAGTTCACTAGACTGCAAACTCTTTGAAGATAAAAACTATGTCTCATCTGTTTGTGCTTCATATTAACATCCCCAAGAATTTAGCATGTTGCATATGGATTATACCCAATAAAGCACCTGAAAGAAATAAAAAATGAAAAAGAAAGGAAAGGAAGGAAGAAGGAAGGGAGAGCTTGAATTCACTCTGTTTATCACCCTCTTCTTCAGAGTTTTGCAGAATCTAATGCTTGTGTATGTGAAGACAGCCCACATCTAATACGTTGACCTTGGCAGTTTTCAATCAAGTCACGGCATCCTACTTTCCACTCTCATAAAAGATCCTCTTAATCATTCTTTCTAAGAGGCTGGTCCCAATTATTACCTAAGATTGTCAAATGGGAAGGCCACAGGTTAAAGGCCTGGGTCAGTGCTGTGGCCAGAAATAAAATATGCCTGACTTCTTGTTCATGCCTCTGGCAGCAAATGCTGCTGGTTTCCCCAGGGAAAATCCAGTTTTCTGGAGCAGTTTCCTTGCTCTTACTGTGCCTCTGAATCAAGCCCTGACTCTCATGCTCCTCTCCTTCTCTACAACTCATCTTCACGCTGACTTCTCATCTTCTTGCCCTGGCTTGAAGTCTTTTGATGAATAGTTTTCAAGCTCTTACCAATTTGTCTTGTGTTTCTTTGCCAGTTGAGTTTATTTATTTGTTTAGGGTTCTCTCTACCCCACCCCTCCACCCTCTGCAGAGCGTGGGCCAAGGGAAGTAGCTGAACACCCTCCCTCCCATACTGTGGGAAGTCAGGCACTATCGTACACCCAGTCCCTCCCCATCAGATACATGAAGCGAGTGACACTCTGCCTCAGACATTCAGTTATCAAAGAGCAAGCAAGAGGGGAGGGGAAAGTGACATTGATGAATGACTGCAGCAGCACAGTATTATTCAAATAATTCAGCACGTACTCCATAGGCCTGCACCACCAAGCCACAGCAAAGATCCAATTTGCTACTGATGACTTCAGAAATGATTCTATTTATCAACAATACCCAGAGAACACCAGACTGTCAATAGCAGTCTAAACCTACAGATGTAGCTTAAGAAGTAGTCCCTGTATGTCTGCTACTACCATCAGCAAGGTGAGTGATTATCATGATAGAGAACTCAAAAGCCTCTTTCTTTCTAAACAGATAGGAAAGAAGGAGAGAAAGAAAAGGAGAGAAAATTTTTGATTTTTTAAATTTGACTTTCATCCCCAGGAAATGTCATAAAAGGCAGCTTTGACTTTAATTTACTGAGTCTTATTTTACAGACGACAAAATTAAGAAACTGTAACTTAAAGGAATTTGTCAAAGTCCATGTCCACCAAAAGAAATGGAGAGAGAATTATAATTCACAGACAAATTCTTATTCTAGAGCAGTGATCCTCAACTAGGGGTGATTTTGGCAAGTCTTAGAGATATTTTTGGTTCATACTTGGGGGATAACGAGGTGGGTACTACTGATATCCAGTGGGTAGAGGTCAGGGATGCTGCTAAACATCCTACAATGCACAAGGCAGCCTCCCACAACCAAGAAGTATCCAGTCTAAATGCCAACAGTGCCAAGGTCTTGAAACCTTGTTGTAGAAAAACAGTAGTAAACTACGTCCCACTGCTTATTTTTGAAAATGAAGATTGTTTGGAGGCTGGGCACAATGGCTCATGCCTGTAGTCCCAGCACTTTGGGAGGCTGAAGTGGGCAGATTGCAAGGTCAAGAGTTCGAGATCAGCCTGGCCAATATGGTGAAACCCTGTCTCTACTAAAAATACAAAAATTAGCTGGGTGTGGTGGTAGGCATCTGTAGTCCCAGCTACTCGGGAGGCTGAAGTTGGTGAACTGCTTGGACCCAGGAGGCACAGGTTGCAGTGAGCCAAGATCGCACCACTGCACTCCAGCCTGGTGACAGAGTGAGACTCCATCTCAAGAACAAACAAACAAACAAACAAACAAACTTCTTGGGACACAGCCATGCCCATTTGTTTACAAATTGTCTATAGCTGTTTTGTGCTACAACGGTAAAGTTGAGCAGTTGTGACAAAGACTGTATGGTCCACAAAGCCTAAAATAATTACTATTGGACCTTTTATAGGAAGTTCACCAACCTCTGTTCTATAGGATAGGCCTTTTTGGGACGGGGACCAAAGAGCAACACTTCTCTACTGGCCAGGTTGTACACTGTGCAACTTAAGGGAAAACAATTCAGAGTCTGATGTCAATGGACTTGTACGATGCAGCAGCCCTGTACAGAAAGGATAAGAAGAGTGACTTATGAAGACAGGTGAGATCTACTAGAAAGCTTCCTGGAAAATTTTTCTAGTGTCTTAAATGATCTTATTAAATATACCAACTCCAAGTATTGCATACCTAAAGTTCATCTGAATAAAGTATTGGTGTCTTCATAATGTATAGGATAGCCTCTGACTTTACAATGAGACATTGTACCGGACCTACCAAGATGAAAATGACAACTGGGAAATCAATAACAGTAGCTGTCATTTATTGAGCATCACTACCACTGGAGTGGCAGTACTAAAGTCAGTTCTTAAAATTTACACTGGGCTTGGGCAAACATAGGAAGTGATGTTTTTCTGTGCATGATGTGACTATGGACATCATTAGAAGCATGAGCTGGTATACCTACTTCCACTTTCCCATCTTCAGTATCAGAGTCTTGGTCCACCTCGTCATCGCCGTCATCTTCAAAATCCTCTGGACGGGGAAAATGAGTGAAATAAGTGAGGTCTCCTGTTTTTCTGGGATTTAGGATTTAGATGTTCACCACACAGTGGTTCTTTCTTCTTCCTCTCTCAAATAAGGGGCTCAATATTAATTGCACAATATTCCACCACACACAAATGCTTATTAGTCAGTACAAATGGTGTGCACGTAGGTATGTTGGGGCACTAAGTCATAAAGTTTAAATAGTTATCCCACATTGAATGCAAAATAAGTGCAGAAAAAATGACACATGAATCCATTCTGGATTCTCCCATGAAAGTCAGAGGTATTTATGCAACTAGCATAGCCAAAGTTTAGAGATCACACACGTACAAAATGTGTTATAACCTAAATATCACCTTGATTGAGCCCCTAATTTTTTGATTGAGGAAGTTATTTAAAACAAAATCCATAGAAGGCATCTTGTACCATTGTGGCAAAATCATGCCTATAGAAAATCTGTTCGTACTAGGATCTTTTGACAGGAAGATCTTCCTAGAGATTAAATAATAACACTTTCAAATATTCCAATATGTCTAGCCTAGAGTTGTAAATAACAAGAGTTTTATTTTAATTTCATCCTCAGGGCAAACTAATTCCACAATCAGTCAGTATGCTGCAGAGATTCGATCATGGGATTCTGAATAGACTTTTTTTTAATTAGCTGAGATTACTGTACAGGCATTTGATAGCTACTAGGCAAAGCAGAAACAGTTAATAATGAAGAACAAAATAAGTGAGCTTGGTATTTTCTCACCCTGTTTATGAAAATCAAAACTGCTTTTTCATGTATGTCTCTAATTAGCTTAATAGACAATTATGGTTGACCTAAGAAACAACTAATTCTATTTTCATACACTTTCCTGGGAAACATTATCAAAATGCAAAAATTCATCTTAAAGGTCATAGTTACCCACTTATTTTACCTTCAGGTAGATCACATGGAGGTTCAGTAGCAATGTGCCCAGGGACCGGGAAGGCATAGGCACTGCTGGCTGTGACTAAGGGAAGTGGACTCTTAGGGTAGCACTGCCTCAGGATCTGAAGCACCACAGAGATGACGGGCTCCATGCTCTTGTCATCCAGGCAGTTCTGAGCAAAGGGAAGATTATATCAGACACCAGCATCTGGGCACAGTCCCCTAGCTGTAACACAGCTAATAACACTCTCCTAGCTGTAACACAGCACGGTCTCCTAGCTGTATTTCAGCTAATGAATTATACACATGGACAGACCGTAAACAGCCTTAATATAGAATGTCAAATTTGAACATTCTAACATAGAATTTTGTCTAATGTAGAATCTGTACTTTTCTGTCTCTTGCTCATTTCATACATCATTGCAATGAATTCAGTCTGAATATAGACTTAAAATTCATTCAAGGGATGCTGTGCCTAAGGCAAGACATTGCTCAGGATAGCTGGGGGAAGAGGAGGCCGGTGTCTTTTCTCAGCCACCCATGTGTCACTGTGAATTATTGCCTACGTTAGGGAATGAGCAGCTGAATTGATGGAAGTCTTGCTTTTCTCTTTCAGCTGTCTTCTGCAGAGAAAAATATTTTTTATAAAAGATAAAATATGAAATCAAAGGGAAAGACTAAGTGAATCCCAAGTACCTAAATTAAATTACATGCCTCTTCTCAAAGCCCACAGTGTTGATCCCTCTTGGTACCTTCCCAAATAAGAGAAAAATTGGGTTTGCAGATGTAACATTTTGATACTGATGGAACATGACAAGACCCTTCTTTTCAGACACTGTGAAAAATGTAAGAACAAGTTCACTAAATTGAGAGACAGAGAGTTAGTATAGTTCAGTATCTCTTTGGCAAAAACACAACCATTTTCTTCAGTATTGTTGTAAATGTTTTGTCTACTGACTTGGTACAGGAAGATGACTTGTGGGGTCCTCCAGTTTGCTATTCCTAAAAGGTGCAACAAGCTCTGAGGCCAATAAGTCACAGAAGTGGAGATGGTGGATACCAGGTACCCACCACAGGGCAGTGTGAATGTCTGTGGTGCTGCTGAACTATGGCATCTCCAGACTCAACATTACAGGTACTTCCATGTGAAAGAACATGGAGGAAAAAAAGTAATAAAAATTTATCCATGAATTTAAGCTACCCAAATGACTCCAAAATATAAGTAAGCCAACTTTCTTTTTTTTTTTTTAGACAGAGTCTCACTCTGTCACCCAGGCTGGAGTGTAGTGGCATGATCTCAGCTCACGGCAACCTCCACCTCCTGGGTTCAAGCAATTCTCCTGCCTCAGTCTCCCGAGAAGCTGGGATTACAGATGCTTGCTACCATGCCAGCTAATGTTTGCATTTTTAATAGAGATGGGGTTTCACCACATTGGTCAGGCTTGTCTCAAACCCCTGATCTCAGGTGATCCACCTGCCTCAGTCTCCCAAAGTGCTGGGATTACAGGCATGAGCCCCCGCGCCCAGCCTTAAGTAAACCAACTTTCAAAATGAAATGTGTTAATGCAATCAAGGATGCTCTCTCCCCTTCAGTGTGTGCCAGTCATACTCATCAGGTGTCCTGAATCAACAGCCTCAGAATACACAGCAGGAAATACTCTTGGTGGAAAATGAATTAGTTTTGGCTAATTCATTATGAAGGCTAATGAACAGTTGAAGCTATTTCACCCTTTGGTCTGATCAAATGGTCTCAAGTGTTTCATGAAAAGTATCAGGAATGGGACAAAAATAAAACAGACTCTGAAGGAGGAAGCGATAAGGTGAAAGAGATGACTTATCAGATATGATGTTCTAAGCTCCAACCTTGGTAGAGATAGAGCCAGCCCAAGCCAGGGAATTCAGTCAAAAAAGCCAACATTTTGGAACACAGGTATGTTTGTGATGATCTTTGATGATAAAAGATAATCGTGTCTTTTTTTTTGGTGGAACGGAACAAGTGAAAGGATGAAGCCCAGTTCAAATGTTCTGAAAAACTGGGCCATACCATGAACTGAATTTGAAGGCTGGAGGGAGTATTATAATCTATAAAACCCAAGGCCTTAGGAATCATGCTATATTTGCCTTCTGCTGCACTGTAGGGGAAATACTTATGAATGCAAAGATCGTTGGTTTTAAGGTAACAGAAATTCTTGAATTCATTTCTCAACATTTCCCTCATGCTAATGGATAGGGGCTGTGCAGGGCCGAGACTAAGGTGAGACTAAGGTGTGAAGGGTTGGTACGCGTGTTATGCATCAAAACAAGACAAGACTCCAGGAAATACGATCCTTATGGACCAATGTCTCAGAATTGGAGGCAAAGGTGAGATTTTAGGGTCCCTTTTCCCATCACTCTCCATAACACATTTGCTACTTGGAAGGGATGATGAAATACAAGAATGCATTCAATTAATATATTCAATGCTTCCATCACAGTTAACATCTTTGAATTAGCTTTGGCATAATAAATACCCTACTTCCACGATACATAGGCAAAGTAAAGTAAGAGCAAACTGCTCAGGTCCTGGAGCCAGACTACGTGAGTTTAAATCCTGGACTGAAGATTACTAACTTCATAACCCTGGCAAATTAATACACTTCTCTGTGCCACAGTGTCTTCATCTGCAAAGTGGAGATAATAACACAACCTCTCTCCTAATGTTGTATACAAATTAAATGCATTAAAGTAGGCAAAGTGCCTAATAGTAAGCATTTAGTATTAGCCAGCGGGAAAAAAGAAGGCATCCTTAGTGTCATAACGTCTCCTAGGAGTCTGCAAGAGGCTGCTAGGAGTCACTGCCTCTCAGAGCAGAGTCCTAGTAATAATTCCCATGATAACAAAGCAAGGCATTTTAGTGGAAAAGGACCTTGACTAGGAGTATAAATTCCTGGGTTTAAATTCCAGCTCTGCTTCTATGTAGCCAAAGCCACTAACAGCTCCTGCCTAAACTCCTATCAACACTCTAATTCCTCCCCTTACTCTCCTTCCTTCTCCTTGTGTCCTCTGATAATCTCTTTTCCAAATGGCAGCCAAAATGGTCCTTTAAAAGCATAAATCAGTTTAATAGTTATAGAGTTTTAATTTTTCCAGATGAAAAGAGTTCTGGAGATGGATGAGTAATAGTGACAGTTATACAACAATGTACTTAACTTGACCAAACAGCACACCTAAAAATAGTTAAGATGGTGAATTTGGTTGCATGCATTTTACTACAATTAATTTAAAATTTTTCAAAAATAAAAAATGAAAAGCATAAATTGTATCAGGTCAGTCTCCTGCTTCAAACTTGATAGAAATAAAATTCTAATTTATTTTTATGCCCTAGGAAGTTCTACGTGATCTGGCCTTCCCTATCTCTTTAATTCATGTCTTCTCCTCCTTTGTGCCTGCTTACAAGTTGATGGAGGCCAGGCGCGGTGCTTCACGCCTGTAATCCCAGCACTTTGGGAGGCCGAGGCAGGTGGATCACGAGGTCAGGAGTTCGAGACCAGCCTGGTCAAAATGGTGAAATCCTGTGTCTACTAAAAATACAAAAATTAGCCAGGCATTGGGGCGCATGGCTGTAATTCCAGCTACTCGGGAGGCTGAGGCAGGAGAATCACTTGAACCCAGAAGGCAGAGGCTGCAGTGAGCCAAGATCACACTACTGCACTCCAGCCTGGGCAACAGAGCGAGACTCCATCTCAAAACAAAACAAACAAACAAACAAAAAAGTTGGTGGAAATAAAATTCAAAGTCCTCATCATGGTTCAAGGAACTCTAAATGTCCTGGCACTGCCCATGACTCCAACTCAATCTCATGTCTTCCCCCTTACTCACAACACTCTGCCATATCTGTGTTTCTCAAGCTCACTCACCTCCCACTCTACTTCCCCACCTGAGGGTCTTTGCATTTACCTCCTTTTTCTCTCCATGGAACCCTCATCTCCAGACCCTCATGGCACTGGTTCTTTCTTATCATTCAGGTCTCAGGTGACACCACAGCTCTTCAACTATGCCTGCCTGGCATAACCCCTCTCTCCCTTCTCTTTGCAGTGATTCTTTGAACATAGATGAGAAATTCTAAGGCTAAGGGCAGATGTGACATAGCTTCAATATAAAAATATCTTAAATGGAAATGGCTTGATATCTTCTGGATTGTCACCAATATCTTTCCTTCTGCCTGACCCTCCAAAACATCCTAGTTGTCCCACTCACTCTCCAATGGCTTCTACCAATGGCTTCTCTCTCTGTCTGTGCCTTGTGGCCACCTCTTGTGCTTCTCTGAACAGTTTACAAACCAAGTGTTTCTCTTAGACTTTTCAAAATACTCTCCTAGCCTCATTCAAATGTGGGTGCCTTCTTGGAGGCTTCTCTGGTCGGCAAGACCAAGTAGGGCCTCCTGTGCATGGTTACACGAAGTCTGTTATTACCCCCACCTACTGCCTATACTGCATTATCCATAACCTATTTTCCCATATAGGACACTAAGTTTCCTGAGGACGATGAGTCCTCTATCACCTTCATCTTTGAACGCCCTATAGAACACAGCCCCAACATCTTTCACCAAAAAGGAGCTCAGAAAACATTTACTGAATCAATAGTAAATGATCTCAGACCAATCTGACCTTCAGGGTATCTAGCTCCTGATTCCAACCTAGTAATATTTCCTTTAGGATTCAGTCCCTCCTTTCATAGGTCCACAAGGCTGAGGCCCTTGGTCTTGTTGGCCAGAGACGAGCCTGATGAATCAAGACTTGGCCTACTGTGCTTTCTGAGCAAATGGTGGCAACTGTGACTTTTAAAAGGCTGTATCACTCCTTATTCTAGTGGTTCTCAAAGTGAGATACCCAAACCAGTAGCCTCAGTATCACCTGAGAACTTGTTAGAAATGCAGAATCTTGCATCTCACCTCAGAACAACTGAATTAGAAATTCTGGGGTAGGATCTAGCAATCTGTGTTTTAACAATTCCTCTAGGTAACTTTGATGCATGCTCAAGTTTGAAAACCAGCAATTTTAGCAACCTTTCAGGCCCCTTAAGCTATTGTAGCTCCAAAGAGTGCTTCTTTTCTCTGATTATCTTATCTAGGTTTGTTCTTTCTGCAGTTACCTATTTCTCCAAATTGATAATTATCTCCAACTGTCTCAGGCATCCTTGTAGGAGTTTTTTTTTTTTTTTTCTTTTTAACCTTGCATTCAAATTGTCATCCTTCTTCCTCTTTCCTCATGCAAAGCGCCAATAAGATTCCATTATACTACATTATACAGCACCCTTGCTGCACTATGGGTGATCTCAGCCTTTGAACTTTTAGAGGATGTTTACAGAATCTGTGCAGAAATGTAAGACTCAGGAAACAAAGAGGTAGGGTCACCAAGAGAGAGACAATGCAAGCAGTGACCTCAGCAGAAAGGCAAAGAAGAATATTATGATGCCAAAGGTGTAGGAAGGACTTTTAAAAAGTTCCTTTATAGTCAATCTCATTCTCAGTAGGTTTGTAAGCACATCATACACATCCATAAAACTAATATAGGACAGTGGTTTTCCAAGTGTGATCCTGAATCAGTAGTATCAGCATCACTTAGGCAGTTGTCAGGAAAGCACATTCTCAGGCCCCACCACAGCCCTGCTGAGTCAGAAACTCTAAGAATGGAGTCCAACGGGCTCTGCTTTAGTGACTCCTCTGGGTGACTCTGATGCATGCTAAACTTGGGGAGCTGCTGGTACAGTGGGCAAAAGCATGGGCTCTCAAGTGAGACTACCAGATTCCAATCCTGGCTCCAACACTTATGAGCTTTGTGAACTTGGGAAAATTACTTAACAGTTATGTGCCTCAGTTTCTTCATCTGTAAAAAGGGAGATAATGATAAAGCCTACCTCAAAAGCTTTTTAAATTATCAATATTGGAGAGTCTGCATAAATTGCTAACACAGTCAAGGGATATATTGATAGTAAGAGTTCAAAGTAACTGTCTTCTCCTTCTCCTACTTCTTCTCTTCCTCCTCCTCCTCCTCCTGCCTCTGCTGCTGCTGCTGCTTCATTACCATTGTCATCACTATCACTGGCATCAGCAACAGCAACAGCAACAGCAGCAGCAGCAGCAGCATAATCTGCAAATGGCAACTGAAATAACATCACCAAATCCAAGGCCCCTGAGCTGACTATTGAGTGACTCCCATGCCTTCTCTAGCAGAAGGGAGAGGAGGGGTGATGGGCAGCTCTAACTCCAGTACACCTGCAAGCGCATCTGTGCTCACGGCACTCACCTCAGGTCTGGGAGGCTACTCAACACTGGTTATGACTGCCAGGGAAGAGTAACAAGCCATTTGGTTTCTAAGCCAGGACAGCCTATCTTTCACCTGCAAGGATCATTTTCCAAAAAACAGGAGAATGTCAAACATCAGACTTTGCACATAAACTTGATAACATTTCCTCTGGAAGAGCACATTTTTTTTTTTTTTTTTTTTGAGACAGTCTTACTCTGTCACCCAGACTAGAGTGCAATGGTGCAATCTCAGCTCACTGCAACCTCCACCTCCTGGGTTCAAGCAATTCTCCTGTCTCAGCCTTCTGAGTAGCTGGGATTACAGGCACCTGCCACCATGCCCGGCTAATTTTTTGTATTTTTAGTAGAGACAGGGTTTCGCCATGTTGGCCAGGCTAGTCTTGAACTCCTGACCTCAGGTGATCCACCCGCCTTGGCCTCCCAAAGTGCTGGGATTACAGGCATGAGCCACCACACCTGGCCAAGAGCACACTATTTAAAAGACTAAAAGCAAGGGTGAGTGGTGGTGGTGAGGAATTCAACCTCTTGAGGCTGACATCCATACATTCTACACACTCTTCCAGGCGACAGGTGTGTCATGGCCTATTTACTCAGCACTGTCTCATAGGCCCCTCCTGGGCTGCTTTTCCATGTAATTCTTAGAGAGATTATAAAATATAAGCTAGAGAAACCTCACTATAAAGTGCACACTCTGTGTGTACTCACATTCTGCTTCCATTCCAACAGTAATTCAAGGCTGGAAGCTTCTTGCTAATGTGCTTAGCTGAGCAACTGAAGTCTTCATTGACCTGCTAAAGGAACTGTTTTGAAGAACCTGCACACAGGCTCACAGCCTCTCATGCTGGGCTTCATTTGGTGTTTTCTCCACCATATTTCTATCATAGACATGTCCCTCTGTGATTACCATCTTCTTCCTTTATTGCTCTTGTTTTTCTTGTTTGTTTTGTTTTTTGTTTGGTTTTTTAGCACAGAACAGAGAAATAGCCAATAACATGGAGAGCAGAGGAACATGGTGAAACCCTGGACCAGAGTGGGGGTCTGTTAAACATCAGCAATGCAGGAGGCCATTGCACTAGGACTGGGAGGGATTAGAGACTTGGGGGACCACAAGCTTACAAAGCAAGAGGGAGCTTGGAAAAATTCAAAGCCCTGCTTCATCCTGAGAAATAGAATGTAAAATATAGCTATTTCATGACTGAGAAGCTTTGAAAGCTGTAATGATGGAAAGAAATCCAGAGGTGATAGCAGATAGGAAATTAGATATTGGTTTGCAGCACTGTATTTTGTTATTGTTTGGCGGGGGTAAGTCCATTTTTTAATGAGAAACGTCTACAGATACCATGGTTGGAAAACAACACTCTCATTGGCGACTTCATTACCTCAGATGTACTCAGATAGAGAAAAACTGGAGGATGTCCATAGAGGAGCAAGAAGGCTGAAAAAGGGAGTCCAGAGGCCGCCTAATCTGGAGATAATAGGAACATAATGCGTGTGCAACATGGCTGCCTTGGCCCCAGGAGAAGGTGGGTGAGCAGATGATGGATATTTGGAACACTTATACCACCAACAGAGAGGGCATATGTAGCCTCAAACTATGGCATTTAAATTAGCCCTAATCAGGTGAAATTAAGGCATGTATTTAGGTTGAAATCCAGGAATCCCTAGAATACATATTCCAGTGGGGTGCTGATAAGTAGAAACCTTTGAAGACACCATCCCCTTTCCCTGGGATGCTCTTCCCCTGCAACTTGGCCTGACCAGCATGACCAGCTCCTCCAATAACTCAGGTCTCAGCTCAGGTGTCACCTGCTCAGAGATGACTTGACCTCTCTCTCTAAAAGAACACCTGCTCCCTCTACCTATGGTGGCCCCTGTAGACCTATGCCCTTACTTCATTGATTTCACAGTGCAATATGAAATTATCTTCCTCATTGGATTCTTTGCTTACTTAGTGTCTGATTCTTCTGCTAGGAGGTTTTCCCTATAGGCTCAAGGGCCTCGTTTGTCATATCCACCACGAGATCCCACTGCTAATTATTCCAATAATGGCTCATCCTCAAAACGCAGTTCAGTCATGGCAAGCACTCTTCTGGGCATGTGCCATTTGTACAGTGACTTATTTAGTCCACACAACAACCTAAGTTTTGTTATTTCTGCTTTTGTTTTTCTTTTGAAGAATCTAGAGGCCCAGAGAAGTTGAGTGACTTTTTCAAAGTTTCACAGCTGTAGGCCCTAGAGCTGGGATTTGAATCCAGTTCTCTAGTTTTAGAGTCAACACTTACCACTATGCCATACTGCACTTCTGGTAGTGTGTATTCAACAAACATATGTTAAGTATATATGAATGAATCAATGGAATGAAGATTGTTTTGTTGTTGTTGTTGTTGTTGTTTTGAGACAGGGTCTCACTCTGCCAGCTAGGCTGGAGTTCAGTGGCATGATCTCAGCTCACTGCAACATCCGCCTCCCAGGTTCAAGCGATTCTCCTGCCTCAGCCTCCTGAGTAGCTGGGACTACAGGCATGCGCCACCACACCCAGCTAATTTTTATATTTTTAGTAGAGAGGGGTTTCACCATTTTGGTCAGGCTGATCTCTAACTCCTGACCTCAGGTGATCATCTGCTTTGGCCTCCCAAAGTACTGGGATTACAGGCGTGAGCCACCAAGCCTGGCCTGGAATAAAGACTTGAATCCAGAACATCTGCCCTTAGCAGGCAACAAGAAATAGATTGAGGTGTTCCCAGCTCTGTCTGGGATGATTCCTAAATGACAGCCTTCAGGAATCATCCAGCTGGCCTCCAGCTGCAGAGTGAATCCCCATGCTGCCTGCCTGTGTGGTGCTGAAGAGGATTTCCATGCCCTGTGCTGCCAGGAAGGCCTCCCTGCCAGACCGGAGGGCAGAAATGTGCTTGAGGCAGAGCAGCAAGCCCCGTCGGATCTGCACGTAGGTGTTGGCTGTGTCACGGCTGTGCCAGTCCTGGTGCAGCCAGAGCAAGCTGGTGACGTAGCCTCGGTTCACTGCCCTGCGGCCGTTCGACTCTGAAAACAAAGGGGAAGGCAGAGTCAATCACAGGCTCTCCAGCTGCACCTCTTTGAGAATGTTCCAGTGCATTTCCCACAAGATACTTATTAATCATCAAGGGAATAATAATGTTTTAGTATGAAAACTGGCAGATGTCACCTTAAACCAAGTAATCAAAGTTAACATCCCCAGTAATGGGACAGTCATCACGATATGATGCACTGAGAAAGATCAGCATCACTTCTATGGTGTTCCTGCCAAGAATGCATAACCCGCATTGGATCATGAAGAAAATCAGCAAAGCCTAAATGAAGGACATGCTACAAAATACCTGACCTACACTCCTCGAAAATGTCAAGGTCATGAAAGGCAAAACAAAACAGAACAAAACATGAGGCTAAAGGAAACTAAAAAGGCATGGCAAGTCAGCATAATAAGTAATTATAGTTTAAATATTGGGCCAGAAAACAATTTTTTCTTTTGCTGTAAAAGGCATTATTGGGCAGTGGTCAAATTTGAATAAGATCTGTAGATTAACTAACAGTTTTGTATCAGTGCTTATTTTCAGATTTTGATAAACTGGGGTTATGTAAGAGGATACTTTTGTTTTTAGGAAATTCATAATTAGAGTGTATGGAAGTCTATACCTTATTCTCAGAAAAACAAACAAACAAAAACATAATACTAACAGTGTGGGAGGAGAGACAGACACAGAGAGATTTCCACCAGATTTCCATTCCTCCTGTCTGAATGTCAGTGGACCCAGGAGGTTGTCATGTGGGTTGAGTTATCAGATTAGGTGGGGAAGGAGAGGATGCTGAGTGAGATATAGTATCTGAAAGGCTGCCATGTGTAAGAGATATGTTGGGTGTCCTTTCTAAAGAGAATGGAAGCTAATTTATAGATAATCAAGACTCATAAATTTGTTTCATATAGTTGAAGCCTCCACATCTGTTTTCAGGCACGACTTAAGTTGCTTGAAACCCAGTCGTACCCCATTGCCTCTGACCTACAGAAAACTTGCCCTCCCCACATGGTTGTTTGCATGTGGTCTGCTTGTCCCTCATCCCATTGACCAAAAACCCAACATTTCCCGCACCTGCCGACCACAGTAAAACCCAATGGACAACACCAGAGTCACGTGAATAGGACCTGCTCTTCATATGTGTTTTCTTTAAACTGCCCAATCCACAACCCCTGCAGGAAAGCCTGACAGATAACGCCATGGACCTTAAGAAAGTCCCAGTCCCACAACAGGCCTCTCTCTCCCCAGACACTGTTTGAGCTCCCTGCCACCTCCAAACTCCCCAGCAACTCTTCTTATTCTCCTGGCTCTGTAACAACAGAAACACTTCTGTTATTTCGCGGGTTTTGCTGTGCTGCCTCTTCTGAGTCTCACTTGACCCACACACCCCAACTAACTTTATCCCCTATCAGTGGCTTACAGCCACTCTTGAAAGAGACCCCAAGACCAAGTTAGAAAGAAATCATGGGCCAGGCATGGTGGCTCACACCTGTAATCCCAGCACTGTGGGGGCCTGAGGCAAGAGGATAGCTTAAGGCCAGGAGTTTGGAGACAAGCCTGAGTAACAATAGTAAAACCCCGTCTCTACAAAAAATAAAAATAAGCCAAACGTGGTGGCTTGCACCTGTGGCCCCAGTTACTAGGGAGACTGAGGCAAGAGAATCACTTGTGCCCAGGAGTTCAAGGCTGCAGTGAGCTATGGTCCTAAGCAACAGAGTGAGACCCTCGCTCAAAAAAGAAAAGAAAAAAAAGAAAGAAAGATATTAAAACACACTAGGCTGAATTCAGGAAAGGAATTCTTCATACTTAGGGCTGTTCAACAAGAGGATAGACTCTAGGGTAGTGAGCAACAGGGCGCTGAAAACGTTCAGGTAAAGTTCGGAAGTCCACCCAGCAGGGATTTAGTATGGGGCTTTCTCATATCTGACAGGGACCTTTTCAACTCCTTGACTTCTCTATGTTAGTTCAATATTCCTGTTTGGGACCTCCCATAAAACCCTATTTTGTGGACCTAAAACAGAGGGAGAAGAACAGTCCAAGATACCTCTCTCAACAGTTAATATACACTACTTTTCAGGTTAAGCTCCTTGGGCTACAGGGTTGGTGGACAAATACGTACTGGTTCAGATCTGTCCAGTAGATGCCTGATCCTCTCAGTTCCTAGGGACTAGGTGCATTGCAGGGCCCTAACCAGCTGACTCTCAATCAGAATGCCCAAATTTTGTAGCTCCGTTCTCTCACTACCGCATCTCTCCATCATCTAAGCCACTCACACTGGTGTATGAGACAGTATGTGCTTCTGGCTGAGTGTGTGCGAGGGAGAGCCCCTGAGGTGTAATCAGATAAGCAAAATTTCATCTCAAAGGCAGATTTCTCCCTAAGACCATGTAAGAGCATATGAGTGCAA